GAAAACACTTGTCTTGTTTAAAAACAATGATCAAGCCAATATTTAATACATCTTAATGATCAATGTGTTTGTTTGTTTGTTATTAAGCACAAAGCTACACAATGGGCTATCTGTGCTCTGCCCACCACGGGTATCGAAACCCGGTTTCTAGCGTTATAAGTCCGCAGACATACCGCTGTGCCACTGGGGGGCCTTAATGATCAACATCACAATATTGAATTTACAGTTGAATATGAAAATGAATTTAAATTGTCTTTATTTAGATACCCTGGTTGAACAAACTTCATCCGGTTTTCCATTTGTAAGTTTCGTTCATATATAAATTTATATAGGTCTTTACTACAACCATGGTTTTGTTCTAACTGGGCGTGCAGTACGTGTTTTAGTAACCTTTTTTATTAAATAAAAATCATTTAATATTAAACATGTTGCAAAAAATGTTTTCCACTTAATTTTGTGTTAAATAATGTTAAAAGTCAATGGAAATGGAAATAATATTAATTCTTTACTTTTTCTTGCAGGTGATAAGTTCTCTAACACTTCTTTATTTAGGTAACGAATATTTGTACTTAAGATATCAAATTTTTATATCACTCAGGTTTTTGTTTTTTATCTTTGAAGTTTTTTTTTCCCATTCAAAGACTAGATCCAAAAAATGAAAATAATTCTTAGTTGGCTACAAATAAGCCCTTCATTTATACTACAAAGGCTATACTGGTTCAACGACCAGGCGTCTGTGACAAAAGATTTCTGAGCATGGGTCCTTTCTAATTGAAACTCACGTATTCAGGTACGCTCAAGACGAATGTAATTCCTTTGTTCTAACAGACAAATTTGATAAACTTTTCCAGACTTCTGGTGAACGAACTCTTAGAGTTCAAGTACCTCTGACAATTATGATCTATATAAGGAGGAACTTAAGTTTTTACTTGCAAGGGATACATCAGCTAACAATGACTTTCAGGAAGTTAGAAACAGTACTGTTAGGGATAAAAATAGTGGATTTAATTGTAATGAACATGCTCGGTTGAGCAACAGATTTCATCTATTAATTTGTGCAGATGAGGAACTATTGGAGGGAAGGAAAACAAAAGAGACAGAGAAGGATAAACTTAAGGAGGTTGTAGTTATAGGCGATTCTTTGATAAGGCATTGTGGATAGGATAGTCTGTGGAGTAAACAGGGAAAAAAAGAATTAGATTATCCTATCCAGTGGCACGGGTGGAGGATATAACTGACAGAGCAAGAGATATAATAAAGGGGGCTAGCAATGATATAGTTTTTGTTGTGCTCGTAGGGGGTAATGATGTAGGGAAAGGTAGGTCAGAGCAGCTAATTGATAAGTACAAGAAGTTGATAAAGGCACTTAAAGAAAATGACCATAACTTCACTGTGTCAGGGACACTTCCGAGAATTAATTGTGGGAATGTAAGTATAAGTAAGTCACTAGGGCTGAATGCTAAGCTTAGGGTAATATATAAGGATGAGCAAATTGGCTGGTTGGACTTGCGTGATCAGTTCAATGGGAGAAGGGAGGTTTTTTGGAATGGGTGGTTCACATTTAAATATGGTAGGGGCTGGCTTGTTTGCAAGGGCCAACACCTCAACTGCATTGCTATTTTTGATGATTCTGTTATTAAGTTCCTCCATCAACATAAGGGAAAAAATAAGATGTAGAGAAAAGTTTAGTATAGGAAATGAGTATAAAGGTAGTTCTAAGGGTTGGCTAAATTGTTACTATTGTAATGTTAGAAGTATAAGAAATAAAATAGATGACGTTAGAGCGCTAGTAGGAACGAAGGATTTTTACATAATGGAAATAACTGAAACATGGTTAAACGTGGACGATTTTGATGACAGGAATTTCTCTGAAACATAGGGTTATAGGTTATAAGAGGGATAGAGTACCAAAAAAAGAGGGAGGGGAAGGAGCTTTATATGTAAAATATGAGTTATATCCTGTTGAAGTTTAAGATATCAAAGATGATAGTAAGGATAGTGAATCCATTTGGGTTTCTATTAATGGATATAAAGGGAAAAGGCTTTTAGTGGGAACTTGTTACAGACCACTAAATCATACTGATGAATTTAATGAGAAAATTTACAGTAAGATTAAGATTTCATAATTATAGGTAATTTTGATTTCAGACATATAGATTGAGAAATGTTAGAGTCAAACCATTAGGGATAAAGGTTTTTAAAAACTGTACAAGATGGTTTTCTTCCCCAATTGGTCAAAAACCTAATAAAAATAATGCTATTTTAGATTTATTGTTAACTTATATTTATATAGAAATTGTTGTATAGGTTGAAACGGGAGAACATCTGATCGTTGCTGTATTAGGTTCAATGTTTTGCTGCATATGACGATCAGGAATAATGATATTTTGGTTACAAATTTCAAAAAGCATATTTTGAAGGGATGCGACAAGAATTATCTGTTGTGAAGCAGTTGAATTATTTGGATATACTGATCAAATGTGAAAAAGTTTTAAAGATAAATTTTTAGATATTCGAGATAAACATACTCTTTATAGAAAGAAAAGAGTAGTTGCAAGTAAAAACCAGGTTGGCTTACAAAGAGTTTAAGAGATAAAATGAAAGAAAAGCATAATAGATTTAAGAAATTTAAATTTACTAGTTTGACAGGAGATTTAGAAGATTATAGAATATAAAGAAAGTTTGTCAAACGAGAAATTAGGACATCAAAAAAGATGTATGAAAAAAAGAGTTGGCTGAAAATGTAAAAATTAACAGTGAGTATTTCTTTAAATACATTAAGGGTAAACAAAATGTTAGTATTGGGGTAGGAGCCTTGAGGGATGATAAAGGAAGGCTCGTATCTGATCATTATGAGATGGCTGGGTTAATAAATTCTGCTTAATTAATGAAGATTTAAGCAAAATTCCTCATCTTGAACAGTTAATAGATGGAAACAAGATCGAATAAGATTATCCTATTAATTCTGAGATTGCTAGGAAAAAATTAGGAAGTTTGAAGAAATATACGGCTTCTGGGCCAGATACCATTTTCCTAAAGGTTTTGAAGGAGGTTAAGGATTAAATATGTGAGTCTCTTGCTACTATTTTTGTAAGTCTTTAAACAGTGAGCAGGTGTCAGAGGATTGTAAGTTGGCCAATGTTAATCCTCTTTTCAAAGGAGGTGATACAAATTGTCCCAGTAATTATATTAGTCTTACATCAGCTGTGGGAAAAGTTTTGGAAAGTCTGATAAAAGATGATTTGCAAAGTCATTTGACAAAGTTTAGAAGTTTATTGGATAGTCAACATGGTTTCACTAAGGGAAAATCTTGCCTTACAGATCTTTTGACATTCTCTGAAAAAGGTTACTGCTTATGCAGATGAGAGTAAGGGTGTAAATTTGGTGTATCTGGATTTTCAGGAAGTATTTGACAAGGTGCCACATAAAAGACTTGTAAAAATATTCATCTCTCTAGGTGTGGGGGATAATTTAGCTAATTGAATAGAAGAGTGGCTGGCTGGATGGAAGAAAGCAGAGGGTTATTAAAAATGGAGTTAAGTCAAACTGGATTAATGTCACAAGTGGGGTATTTCAGGGCTCAGTCTTCGGGCCTTTGCTCTTTTTGATTTACATCAATGACATAGATGAAGGTATGGTCAATAAATTATTTAAAGGTCTTGGATGTTACTGGCTGTGAGGAGAATGTTGCTGCTTTACAAAAGGATTTAGATCCCTTAGTGAGTTGGGAAAATAAATGGCAGATGGATTTAAATTATAATAATGCAATATAATGCATGTGGGTCATCATAATTTGAATTTTAAATATAATTTGGATGGGAGTATCCATAACAGAGTTATGAAAGAAAGGAATCTTGGTGTTGTGGTTGATCAATCTCTTAAGCCATCATCCAAGAAGTGTGCTGTTGCTAATGGTAGGGTAAATAAGATTTTAGGTTGTATCTACTGAAATACTTAATACAATTCTAATGAGGCTATAATATCATTTTATGGGTCATTAGTTATGTCACATCTGGAGTATTGTGTTCAGTCTTGGGCAAGGATACCTTAGGAAGGTTACTGAATTCTTGGAAAGGTTTCAAAGGAGGGGCTACTAGAATGGTGACTGGGATGGAGGAGTTGTCTTACAAGGAGAAGTTAAGATCTCTAAAATTAATTTCTCTTGAAAAACAAAGACTTAGAGGGGATCTGGTTAAGGTATTTAAGATTGTTAATGGAATTGATAATGTTGATGCATCATATTTTTTCACACTTACTGTTGAGAACGGTAGGACTAGGGAACACAAACATAAATTTTGGCACAATAGGAGTCATTTTCATCTAAGACGGTTATATTTTTCTAACAGGGTGGTTGGCATTTAGAACGGGTTTCCTTCAGATATTGTGGCGGCAATAAATTTAAGTAAGTTTAAGAGAAAGATTGATAACTACATGAATGATAATGGCTGGTTTTGAGGGGTTATTTTATTATTTAATAATTTTAGTTTAGTTTAGAGGATGAGACAGCCTAGATGTTCAATAGATCCCTTGTTGTCCCTAAACATTATGTTATATATTGCTGATCCGATTGGACAGTTCCATCTATCTAAATTCACAAAAATGACCCCATTCAATAATAATAATTATAATAAAACAATACAGTACGGTTTAATTTCAGCATAATATTTTTATGAGGATGTGTGAAATTCCTTATCAAGTTTTGTAGCTAATGTACTCTTCCTGACAGTGATAATATGTAAACGAAGATCTTAACAGCAAAGCTCTAAATAGTCACTCTACTCCCGAGACTTTAGACTTTGTTCAGCACTGATATAAATGCTGAGTTAGCTTGGTGAGTTAACACCCGCTGAAAGCTTTAAATATCATGATAACTATATTTGTAGAAATCTGAATCTTTAATATTTTTAAAGAGTCAGTTTTGTTAAATTTTTATGACGAAAAGTTTATTTTGTGTTGAACAAACTAATAATAATTACAATAAAATTGCAGAGGGAGTGAAATGTAATAAACGTCCGCAGATGTTGGGATTGGGGGATGGTGTGTAAGTTAAGATTAATAGTAATTTCGGAATTTTCACTAATATAGTAATTAACATTTATTGTTTTTAGTTTCACTATAAATTAGAAATACTAAGTTACACCGATTTCACATACAAACTTAGTTATCTATAAACTGTAATATTAGTATTGTAGTTTAACGTATATAAGTTATACTTATAGGTTATAGAAAAGTCTAAGCTCAACACTATTCTTTCTTAGTTTATAAATTACAGTATTACTACTAGTAGGTAAATCAAAGAGTTATAACCAAAAAATTAACTGTGCATCTAAAGGTTCCAAAGTTGAAACATATTAGTTATTATTATTATTAATAATAGTATTACTGGTACTTCCTTGCATATTAAATCTATTATTTCGGCTTTTCTTGTTTAACTACTCGGACTGAGTTTTGGAGAACGGTTTGTCAAGCCTTTAACTTTAAGAAGTTTGTACACTAATCAAGTTTTGGCCTCAGAGAAAATAATTCCAAAGCATTTAAGTCTCGAATAATAAAGATATATACTTGTAATAAAGGTATATTTTTAATAAACTTGATCACAATTATTAGGCACTTGGATATGATGTGATCTATGAGTGTATTCATTTTTAATCATTTAAATCTGATAAAAGTATTTGTTGCTTTAGTTTGTAAACATTTTGCTTAATATGTTTATGAGTAAAATAAGTTTAGAAGTGTGGTTGTTTCAGATTTTGTTGATGATTGTGATATGTAGCAGTTTATCGTTTTGCAACTTAAAACTGATTAGTATAAGTCTTTTTCCATAATTACCTGAAAGTATCAGTAATTAAATTATATGTGTTTTAAAATTTCATTATATGTTATATATATATACATACATACATATAATTAGTTGTGACAAGTTATTAAATTTTTTCTCTCACTATGTTTTTAGATAGTTTTGATAACTTTGTCTTTTTCTTTACAGATGATGAGAAATGAAATTGAACAGCACACACATCCATCTCCTGTTCTGTTAAAACTTTTAATTGAAAAGCACCTTTGATTACTCATTCATCATCAAGCAAATGTGTCAAAATGAATTTTGATGATATTATCTACGTTTTCTTCCTTCTTACTTCAATTGGCATAGGACAGTACATTCGGCACATTCCTGGTCAGTTACAAAGACAATATGTCTGTACTGGTGTTGGAGTGCTGCTCGTTTTTCTGGTGTCCAGACTTCATATAGTCCATCCTTTAATCCTAACCTGCTTGAATGGCTTAATTGTTTTGCATGTAAACAAAAAGTGAGTATAAAATGATTGTAATCAGTTGTTACAGCTATCGTTGTGTTTTATTTTTAGTACTCTGTTATGCATGTATAATATTACTGTATAAGGATATTGTGTATTTCTACTTTCTCTCAGACACAGATAATAAAATGGTACCTGTGAAAATGATTTTTACTTTTGTTTTCTTTGAGATTTTGAAATAAGACAGTACTTTGTTTAAAGGTTCTGTGGATGTCAATAGGAATGATACTTCTTAATGATTGTGAAAAGAAAGGGTTTGTAAGATGATTTAGAACTGCACTAATTACAAAGATTTTTATGAACTGTGATTAATACTCAGTGTTACTGGTATTGTGTAAACTTGGAACTAATCAATGTTGTAGGTTTTTTGAAACTTCAAATTTTGAATTAATTGCATTATTGTATTTATTACTTGCATGTACAAGTGTCATAATGTGTGTGTGCTGTATTTTAATGGAAGACCAGTCATTTTTACCTACCCTGCTATTAAACTCAAACATTTATCAAGAATAATGATGATGGTGGTGTTTAAGAAATGGATTATTTTGAAAAAGGGTTAAACAAACCAATGTTAATGATAATCGTAAGCTAAAAAATTGCATTTCAACCCATTACAGTATTTTGACATCTACTGTATTCTAACTGATTGCAGTTGTGGGATTACATGTAATTATAGTAAAATAAAATATACAGAAGTTGAGTTCATTATATTAAAATGATTTTGGAGCCTCACCATGTCTATATTACAGAAAGCAAGAAGGGAATATCAGTGTAATTTTGACATGATAGCTTATGGATGGAACATTTTGAAATGGAAACTACCCTGCAGGGCTATTGAAAAGATGTATGGCCATAAAATGAATCACAACTGGACATGGTGACATGAACTGTAATTATAGTGTAAGAAGACAACAGTTTCCCAATGGCCATTTCAAGAGTCTGATCTCACAGAAATCAATAGGCATTACTCCTGGACAAGTTGTCTGGTGTGTCTTCCTATATAATAGCATGAGTACTTGTTTTATTCTCTAATTGCTTGAGGTATGTTCCTGGAACAAGTAGGTAGCTATAGCCACTGACCTTTGTGTACATAGTTTTTCACCTGTTTCAAAACACCATACTTTGCTTACCATGAAAGGGGGGGGGTATGACTTGTTTTGGGTGTTTTTTTGGATGGTTCTGGTTGCCCTTATTGATTCATATTCCTTTGTTTTCGAATGCCATTAAGTACAAAGTATTTTCTCTCATGGGTATTCTAAATCTTCAATCTGAACATATCTTTGTGATCTGAGTGTATGAATATTTTGTTTCAGAAAGGGCTGTTACATACCATACCCAAAAGCGGTCAGTTTTTAGTGGCTACCTAAATATGCCAAACAGTGTCAAAATGTAGTTCTGATACACAGTATTACACCATGAATATATGTTGTTTTTGGATATATTAATATCCAGTCAGATTAGGTGTCACCAAATAGTACAATATCTGATCAAATCAAATAATTTTCCCTCTTTAGTGTATTCTTATATCATGAGAAAGATTAGATTAGATTTTTTTTTTTTCTACAGGTACTGCCATATCATCAGCTTCCTATTTTGTTTTGGTTACCTGGCCTTTTTTCGATGGACCTCCCAGTATTATACTTGACATTTTATCTAAATCCACTTAAGGAAATAATTAGGCCTGGGATGAATGATAACTCATTTAATTATATACATTTGTACTTTTTAGGTTAAAATTTACACAGAAAGGTCATAACAGTGTCTTAATTAGTAGTGTGAAGATGTTCAATAACACACAATGCCTTTTGTGCCTAAACAGTCAATAACACATAATGCCTTTTGTGCCTAAACAGTCAATAACACATAATGCCTTTTGTGCCTAAATAGTCAACAACACACAACACCTTTTGTGCCTGAGCAGTTTTTTCTACACAACTAGTATCTTGTGCAATATAGAAAAACCACAACCTTGAGTGTCATGATCATCTGTACAGCATTAGTATGAGCAGGAGGTGAAGGAAACCCAAAATATAATAAACAGAACAGTTTTTCGTTATTATTATTATCTTATTGATCATTATCAAAATGAACTGCCTTCCAGGAATGGTCTCATCAAACAACACTGTTATTTATACATGTTTATTATTGGATGGAGTTCTAAATGCAACAATTTTACTATTAATTGGGTTATTATTTTTTTTTACTGCATCTAACATTAGCCTCGATTCAAATTGCCACAATTTTTTCTTTGTCTGTCAGTACGAGTACTATCTTACTTGTGCTTATCTGTTAATTCATATACAAAAAAGTGTCAAAAATTTGAAGATGAGTTTTTAAAAAAAAAAAAATTAGATTGAAGCATGGTGTCACAATTAAAAATAGATAAATTATATTTTCTTGATGAATCTCCAGTAACTGAATTGTAGTTATTTAGGGCAATAATATCAGAAGTTTTTTCCAAATTTACTTGTTCATGTGTAGGATAATAAAATTAAGTTATGTGAAATATTTCAAGGATCATAATTATAAGCAAGAGGCCACTACTCTATCAAGGTACACTCAGCATTTCAACCAACCAAATTAAATGTTGTTTTTTTTACAACCATGTACATATTGATCAGAAACTAACAACAATTACCACATCAAGAGGGAAACCATTTCACAAATATATAAATCTAACAGGGAAATATTTGTACATAAAAACAAGTCTTTGTCTGGTTCTGATATTCACAGTAACAACTTTCTCAGTTCACCATCAAATGAACCACATATAAGAAGATATTCTGACTTTGTTTTAGAATAAATACACATTTAGTAGTCCTTCTCTGCACTGTTTTTAACATGTCAGTATCTATGTAAAAAGAGAACCAAAACAATAAACATTATTCTCTGCACTGTTTTTAACATGTCAATATCTATGTAAAAAGAGATCCAAAACAATAAACATTATTCCTAATAATACCTCAGGAATCTTGTACAAGATTATTTTAAAATTTTGACTAAAAAAATTCATTTATGTAACTAGGATTTAAAACTGTCAGTGCCTTGTCCATCTCTAAACACTTGATGATGATTTCAAACTGTAATTCGGATTCACATTTGAATTGACAACTCTTAATGTGCCTCTCATACAAAAGTTAGCTTTCTTGTGCCACATTACACTTTTTAGTCCCTGGGACCGACCTCGTAACCATTTTCTGCTTGTTATAGTTTTCATGCTATAACTTTTAACTTAGTACGCGAATGTTAACGAAATTTGGCAGATTACCAGTAAACATTACAATGCTTTCATACCCAAAATATAAATTATTTTTATTAAGTACTAAGGTTTGTAAAGCAATGTTTTTCTCATGTCTTTTTTTTCTTTTCACATGTTGCCTTCACATCAAATGAACCACATATAAGAAGATATTCTGACTTTGTTTTAGAATAAATACACATTTAGTAGTCCTTCTCTGCAATGTAACTTGTCTTGGCTGTGTTTTAGTAGACTAGTATTTTGTAAAATACAGTCACATTTCAATTATTATACATTATATATGTTTTCTTAAAACATAGAACAGTAAATAAAAAATAAAGCAAACAATTATCTCTTCCAGTTATGACCTTTAAACTCAGTTGCTGCTTGATGTAGGTTGCTAAGCCTTTAAAAAATCTGCAGGTGGAGGGTATGAAACAAAATATATTTTTTAGGTTTTATATACACATTTGAATAACAAAAAATTATACATTTACTACATTAATACCATAGAATTCACTATAATTTATCAAACTTAGTAACTGAGATGTATTTTTAGTCTAAAAAAATATGAAATTTCAAGCAGACTAAAGCTACACTTTACCTCGTTGAAGTATTGGTTCAAAAGAAAGAAATGGCACCAAGCCCATTAAAATGTTTGAGAGAGCCACTTGTGGGACATTCTGAGCCTCCGATTGGTTATTCATGTCATATGTAGAAGTAAGTATATATATATACATATATAAGGGAGTGTTTTCAAACATGGAAAGAGGTGGGTGGGGTGCCACTGTGTTTGATTTATTGCATGAGCAATATCTTAGCAAATTAAAAAGATAAGAGGCTCTTATTCTATATTCTAGCTTGTCAATATTGATAATTTGAGTTTCTAATTCATATGAAACTATAGACTTAGTATTTTGACTTTACAAACATCTAATTTGTGAACCAGTGCTGCATTCAACATACCACGTGACACACAAAAATCAATGTTTGTCTGTGTTTTTTTAATATTTGATTTTAAATTAAGAAATTGAGTAATATATAGTACTAAAATTTGAATTATAATCTACAGTTTGATTCCAAAGTTATTGACATAAATTCATGAAATAGTGGTTAATTAAAATTTTGAATGCAAGTCAACAAACGAGATGACATGGCCTTTCACCTATGACCCGTCTCGAAAGGGTTAATACTGTTCAAGTTGTTTGAATAAAAAAAACAAATTTCAGTAGAATAAACTTCCTAGGATGTTGTCAAGAAATATGGAAATATTACTGCTGAAGAAGCTACCCGAGTTGCTGGCATAAATAGAAAATTTTAACTCAAGCTGAATTAAGACTGCAATAATAACTCATTTATCACCACTTTTTTGCTTTCTACCATAAATCCCTGGTAGTATTTTACCGGTCTGGTATTGATTATTCAGAGTTACAATGTGAAAAGGAACTATTGTATAATTTTAATGTTTGTTGTATTAGCAGTAACTAAATGAAATAGTGTTTGTCATTTTCCTTTTTATTATTCTGTTTTAGATGGTGGGCGTTGCCTTTGAAGTTCACCAGAGTTACAGATTTAAGCAAGAAGGATATCCAGATAAAAACGTTGATTTTAAAACCGAGCATCATGTCATCCATCCATCATTTCTTGATGTTTTTCAGTACTCCTTCTGTTATGCTGGAGTTCTCATTGGTAAGGCGTATAGAAATTTATGTGACATGTTCGTAATTTTTTTGAAAGGTTAAAGTAAGCTCGGAAGTATTTTATAAACACATAGCTGGTCCAGTATTAAATAATAAGATTCTGACACTTCTGGTTCCATGCATCAAATGTTTTCTGAAAATTATGATGAGATTTACATTGGAAAAACTTAGAGATATTTTTATTCGTGTTAAAAAACATAAAAGAAAAACTTGTGTTTATTAACATACATCCAAGTATGATCACCTATTCCAACTTGATAATATTAAAATCTTCAGTAAAAAAAATATATATAAACTATTGCAAAAAATAAAAGAAACCTTATTAATTAAAAAGTGTAAGTCTAAAATAAATATTTGTTCTGGAATAGAGCTGAAAATCTTTGTTTAAACTTCTACATGATAGTTTACATGTAGCATTTTTTAACATATGATTTTACATTGTAATAACCAAGTTAGCATACTTTAACGTAAAGGAAGTAAACATGATTAAACATAATTTTTTTTGCATGCATAATTTACTCTTAAAAATACTAAAAATAATTATTAAAAAATTAACTTTCTTGAACGTGTTGTTTTCTTTCACAAGTTGATCTTTAATTGAGGTCGGACACCATCATGCGACCCCTTTTCGTGAATTAATCTTTTGCCACTCACCAAACAAACAGCTATACTATTCTGAACCTATGTGTGTGGTTACTGTAAGATTATGTATTACTTCTTAGCATTGTTTAGCTTGTTCTGATATGTGTATGGTTACTGTAAGATTATGTATTACTTCTAGTATTGTTTAGTTTGTTCTGATGTGTGTATGGTTACTGTAAG